ACCTTCAATATGGTAGCTTTTTACAAGCACGGAAAACCGTCGTCAATTTCATTATATCTACCCTCTGCAGTGTCGGGTAGGTTCCTTGGTTTTTCTTCTTAGGGCCCACGATCTGGCCATAACACTATGTTTATTCACACTTTCATATATTGAATCTCATATCCAACAGGTTATCATCTTGAGACTCTTACAGTCCTGGGTTACTTCTACCTCGACAGCGCAACCTGACTCACATATCACGTACTACGCCAGAACCAATTAATCTTTCCCTCTACCATGTTCTGAGGTGTACTGGTCCTAGGTTATATCACCCAACTAGGTAAAAGTTTCTAGTCTTAATCCATAGGCTAGTGGTCCGGCGAGACCAACACTCCTCTCCTCATACTCGGAGGAATACACCCATCGGGCCAAATCATAGCTAGCCGTCTCGCATTGTCGCATAGAGAGGGCCTCACCTGTCACTCCCAATCTATCTTATGCTTTAAATACCACCGAGAGGCCAACACCCCGCCACAATGTTCGGTGGCCTCATACGTTCCCCTCGGGCCCACGCATAGGTAGCGCCTCTCAGGCCACTTGGCAATTAGTAGGGACTCATCTGTCACCATCCATAAGTATAATTGTTTCGCCGCTTGGCATTTAGCTAGCCTTACCAGTACCCACCAAAATAAACATTACAGAATGATTGATTAAGCTTACTTATATTTTTCAGTTATGTCTATTAATCCTGATATCCCAGAGGAACTCTCGCTACCCTGCACTCCCGCTAGGCCTGGTACCCCTGTTCCTGCAACAGACGTTGCTAGCCCTGCTTCTCTCAGATCATGGACCATCCCACGTCTCACGGCAGAACTGAGAAGGCGCAGCATCCCTTTCCCAGCTACTGCTAGGAAAGCGGAGTTGTTCAGACTTTTGAATACGGGCACTGACAACTCTGATGCAGGGGAAGGCCCTAGTGGCACACAATTGCCAACATTTCATGCCATGATGACCTCGCTCATGTCATCCATCAGCACAATTAATAACAGACTGGATAAATTGGAAACAAGTGGTACTAAACAGACCGCTACGAACCCAATTGAGGCCAGTCACCCTCTTGCTGACATGACTGGTAATACTTTGGTATCAGGGTCTCTTAGCGGAGATATTAACCCCTCACACATGGTCCCATCTCACCTTAAAAAGGACATTCTGGAAGGCAAGGACGTCAACCTGGTGTCATTGCTTAAAGCCTCCCAGGATGTCCTGGAGAATAAGACTTTTGCATACGGGGATATATCTGTCGTATTAAGGGCTAGAGACTCTAGACTAAACAAAAAACTGTCAATACCTGAATTTGTACTGGGATTTGGGATTTATAGATATGTGTACTGCTCAGTATACCCAGGTAAAAGATCAGAGCTGGATACATACATGCACAAGATGGTGGACCTGGGGCACAAATACGGTGGTACCGCTTTTTACGATTACCACCGTTCCTTTTCCGCAAAGGTGGCTGCAGCTCTGGCTCAGTTCAATTTAAGCATTAATTGGAGCAAATTGGACACAGAGCTATTCTGCAGGCATTTTGCAGGCCTCAGGCCTCCAGCATGTGCAGTATGCGCATCCACAGCACATCACACTAATCTCTGCCCTAACACAGCCGAGTTAGAACAAAATCAATCTTCCCCTAACTTTCCTAAAGCTAACAAGGGTTTAAAAGACAAGCTGGGCAGAGACATTGCATTCCTGGGTAAATCTCAAATATGCAACAATTTCAATGCGGGCAATTGTGGATTTAGTTCATGTAGACTGATGCATGTGTGTTCACACTGTTTTAGAGCCCATGCCAAAACAATGTGCCCAAATAAAGCATTCCCAAAACCGTATCACACGTGTGTGAGCGTCACTTTATTAACAGCACTTTTACAGCCACATCCTTCACGTCATTTCACGGAATATATTTTGTTGGGCATGACCGAGTGTTTTCACATCTGGTTGGTCCATTTACCCTCCGGTACACTAGAATGCGACAACCTACAGTCCACATTAGACGATCCACAGTTGGTAAATACACTTACCTCAACTGAACTTGAGCAAGGGTTTCTGTTGGGACCATTCTTTTCCCCACCCTTCACGTCCTGGAGAACCAATCCTAGGGGTGGTCACAGGGAAGACCTCACTGAAACCCAGACTGATAATTGATCTATCAGCACCACACCTCCACTATCCCCAGCCTAAACTCCCTAATACCTTCTGAAGAATTTTCACTGCACTACGCCACTATCGACCATGCCACAGGGGCCATCATACAAGCAGGTACGGGAGCATGGCTGAGTAAAACAGACGTGGTAAACGCTTTCAAGCTACTACCCATACACCCTTCCCTGTGGCATCTACATGGTATTAAATGGCAAGGAAGGTATTATTTTTTCACCAGACTTACTTTCGGCTCTAAAAGTAGCCCACGTATTTTTGACACATTTGCAGAGGCTCTATGTTGGCTATTACTAAATGTGTGCAAGTGCCCTTCGGTTATCCATTATCTGGATGACTTCCTCCTGATTGAGAATAACACTCTTCCACCTAGTAGTTTGAATCACTTATTGGCACTGTTTGAATCTCTTAACATTCCTGTCTCTCCTCACAAAACTTTGGGTCCAGATACCTACATGCAATTTTTGTGCATACAACTAGACACGATTAACATGCAGGCCAGTCTACCTCAGGACAAGATTGAGCGTACCCTGGCAAGTATTGAACATTACCTGCTACAAGGTCATTGCAATCGGAAAGAACTACAATCACTACTTGGATCACTCAATTTTGCCATCTTTTATATCCCACCTGTTATCCCTGTTTCCACTGTTTTCTTCGGACACTTCACATATCACATTAGATGTACACGCAACTTCTGATTTACGCATGTGGCGGGTCTTTCTCACTTCTTGGAATGGGCGAACCATGTTTATACCACCCCCCTCCGATACATCACCTACACTATGGACAGATGCTGCAGCTAACACAGGCTTTGCCGCCATCTGGGGTGACAAATGGCTTTGGGGCCCTTGGCCGACTGAAGTCGAATCACTACCCAAATTTTCTGACACCTCGGCTTTATTTGAGTTGTACCCAATCGTGGTGGCAGCCATTGCTTGGGAACCATATTGGTCTGGCCACACGGTCAGGTGCTACTCGGATAACCTGGCTACATGCCACATTGTGAACAAAGGCCGTTCGGCATCACTGATCATTATGAGACTGCTAAGACGTCTCACATGGGTAGCAGCCACTTGCCAATTCTACATAACATGCATACACATCCCGGGTTACACAAATACCGCTGCTGATCACTTGTCTCGGTTTCGTTTCCAGGCTTTCCTCTCGTCACTACCAAACGCTTCCAGACGAGCGACACCTGCACCTCTTTTCCAAGACATGATCATGGATTAAAGACCTTGCTAGATCACGCACGTCACATTTCTCACATGGCACTCTCAGTAAACATTAGGGACACTTATGATAGGGAATTTCACGTATTCAAAAGATTTATCACCGAGTTTCACATTCACGACATGTTTGCATTAGAGACGATTTTGGGGTTTACCTCTTTTTGCCAGATTAACCTTAAACTATCCTTCAATACTATTAAACTGTACCTTACTGGCATCCAACACCATATGCTCATCCAACAACCTAACAGTACTGCTTTTCTAACCTCATACCAAATTAAAACATTACTTAAAGGCATTAAAAAATTAGACACACATGTTCCCTCACAAAGACTACCTATAGACAACAACATCTTCCACTCTCTATCCAACCTATTAGATTCAGCTCCTTTCGAACCCATGACAAATAGCACCATCAAAACAGCACTATATCTTGCTTTCTACGGGTTCCTACGGCCTAGCGAATTCACAACCACAACCGCACTTAACTATCTCAGAACCATTGATCTACAGAAACATAATGACCATTATATTCTCTCTCTAAGACAATCCAAAACCAGCACCGACGGACACAGTATTCAGATAACCCTGTATCCTACTCACAATATATGGTGCCCTGTTAAAGTGTTAGACACTTATTCACTTTCAGTCCACAAACAACCTCAACAGCCTTTGTTTGAACTGCATGGACACACTATGACCACAGCTAAATTCATGCTATATATAAGACTTCTGTTAACCAGGCTCGGCCTAAACCCCAATCAATTTTCAGGCCACTCTTTCCGTATAGGAGCAGCATCCTCCGCATCCGCTAACCACATCCTGCTCATATTATTAAAGCCATGGGGCGATGGAAATCCTCCGCTTACACACACTACATACCCAATCCTGTTAAAAAGAATTAAGACAAGCTTTTTGTGACTTATCTCAATAAACAAAGTTGATTCACGAATTATGTTTTCTGGTTATTTTCTTTTTGCCCACTTTTATTATAGGCCTACTGCTCTGTCGGTTTCGGCACACCACAACCGACTGGTGCCTACTCATAGATGTTATGCTTGTATTGTGCTAAGATTACTCTGTTCGGCTAAATTGCCCCGACTACACACACACACACACACACACACACACACACATACATATATACACACACACACACATATATATATATACACACACACACACACACATACATATATACACACACACACACATATATATATATACACACACACACACACTTTTTTATTTTAATTGGGGTAGCTCCCAAAATATTGGGACATACAAAAAAGGAAACTGTTCCGCAGAGCGACTGACCCGTGCGTGCTGCATTTTAAACTCCATCATCGCCTGCTGCTGCTCGCACAGTCTCATGAGGTAGTGAGCGGGAAGGCCGAAGTTAAACTGCAGTGCAGACAGGTGAGCACCAGCAGGGTGAGAAAGCCGAAAGCGTGCACGACAGCCCGCACTTTCTGCAGCAGCTCTGATATATCTCGGTATACACCGTGGCATCACAAGGGCCACCCAGAACTGGCTCAACTCCCACCAAGCCAAGTTCACCCAGCTCGTCATGCTAGAGCACTTTTTCAATGTGCTCCCCAAAGAGAAGGCGACAGCACATTCGTATGTCAATCCATATCAAATTTCGATGACAGCGCCTACCATGTGACCACGGGTAACGGGGAATCAGGGTTCGATTCCATACAGGGACCCTGACAAACTGCTACCACATGCAAGGAAGGCAGCAGGTGCGCAAATGACCCACTCCCAATGCGGGAAGGTAGGGACGACAAATAACAATACATTTAGAGGCCCTGTAATTGTAATGAGTCCACTTGAAATCCTTTGATGCTGATCAATTAGAATGAAGTCTGGTAACCACAGAGCCACTGACTCCACTATCGTCTGCTGCTGCTCAAACAGTCTCTCCAGCATGTGCAAGTTGGAGTTCCACCTTGTGGGCACGTCGCATATGAGGCATGGAGCGGGAAGGCCAAACTTACGCTGCAGCACAGACAGGCGAGCAGCAGCAGGGTGAGAACGCCGAAAGCGAGCACAGCCGCTACAGTTAATGTCACATCCTGTTCCAAGTTGCGGATCAGTCTGGTGATGGCTTCTGGTATCCAGTACTCTTTTTACTGAAGCTACATCAGGGTTCTGGTATGTGGTCGCACAAATGCTGGTGCTGAACACCAGGGAGCATGCGGTTACCCTGCACCAGACCTTGCTAATCCATTCCACACTGTGACCCCTAACTTCAACATCAGGCATACTGGGTCCCAGTCGTCCGACCGCCGCCCAGACAGTGTCTGGGTCCTGGTCACCGGACTGCCCACCTGACTGTGAAACTACGAATGGATCGTTAAATCTGATACGAGCCTGAACTTTGCAGTTCAGGTTCGCTCAACTCTATTATGTATCCTTTAATCGCTACATCTATTACTTGGATAACTGGTAATTCTTGAGCTAGGGGACGGCCACTCCGCTTTTGCACCCTGCTCCTTCTTATGCGTTGCTGGTGCCTCTGTGCGACCACCGCCTCTTCTTCCTCCAAACTGCACACCTCACTCACATGACCTTCATTCCAGGTGGGGTCTAGGACCTAATCATCCTCCACATTATCTTCCACCCACTCCTCAACCCTGCCCTCCTTGCCGGTCTGCACACTGCAGAAAGCCACAGCAGTTGGCACCTGTGTTTTTCCAGCATGTGAAGTCTGCAAAGGACTTATAGAAATGGTTTTAGAATTGTATCCAGGCAACAGTTTTCCCTATAAACTGACCTCTCAGTTTGACTTGTGAGGGTATTGTCCCAGAATTACAATATTGTTTAAGTACCTCTTAGCTATTGATAACTGGTTTAAATATAGCAACTTGTTATCTGGTAGTTTCTAGTGTAGAAAATATCAATCTGTTTTCTATCACTTAGATATCTGTGTAACAAGTGTTGTAGGTGTGAAACAATATTACAAGTGACCGATGTAATAAATTAGAATCAAAGTTACGCTTCGATTTGACTCTCAGATATGAAAAGCACGCCCCAAAATGTACCATTTAGCAGATTAGCAGCAAAACAATTAGAATGCTTACAAGTGCGCTGTAACCGCAGTATTTGACGCTTCTATTTGACTCTCAGATATTAAGTGCACCCCACTCAAATACTATTTAGCAGTTTAGCACCCAAATAAATTTAATTTTTAAAACTGCAATGTGACAGCAGTATTTGACGTTTCTATTTGACTCTCGGATATGAAGTGCACCCCACTACTGTACTATTTAGCACCAAAAAAAATAAAATTACTTTTTATAACTCCGATGTAACCGCGGTATTTGACGCTTCTATTTGACTCTCAGATATGAAGTTCACCCCAATAATGTACTAGTTTGCAGAATTGTTTCCTAAGCTGTCCCTCGCATCGGCAGCATCTTCTCCCCACACTAATAAGAGCTCATGTGCGTGCGGCGCTACGTGACTCCAGCTTATATATAGAGGCTGGGTCACATGCCGCACTGGCCAATCACAGCCATGCCATTAGTAGGCATGGCTGTAATGGCTTCTAATGGCACACGAGTCAAACGCTTGTTGATTGGCTGCACTGCAGCCTTTGAAAACACGCCATTAAATCGCCGAACAACGAACTCCAACCCGAACATAGTGTTTTTTCGGGTCCAGGGTCCAAAAAAAAAACTTAATGTTCGGTACGAACCCGAACTTTACAGTCCAGGTTCGCTCAACTCTCCTGGGCACTAAAATGGCAGATTATGCGCTTCGTGGTCAAGAATGCACAAGCAACTTACACCCTAAATGGTAGTGAATTAGGTACAGAGGCGGCTCTCTAATTAGGTGGTTTATGCGGCCGCCTAAGGCCTCGCGGCCGCCTAAACCGAGTAATTAGAGAGCCGCAGCAGTGCTTTCAAATATTATAAAAAAAATGTAATGCCGGCCGGCGGCCGCATCAATATTGCCGCGGCGCCGGCTCTATAACAAGATGAAACCCTCTCACGTAGGTTTCCCGTGCAGGAGTGAATCCCCTCCCTTCCTCCTGCACGCTACCTGGTAATCGGCCAATCAGCGATGCCGATTACGTCACAACGTAACCCCTCCCTACATTCCCCCGCCTGCGGTACCGAAGAGAAGAGGAGCTGCTGAAGAAAAGAGAGCAGAGGAGAAGGCAGAAAAAGGAAGGACACAGGAGAGGAGATGGCAGAAAAAGGAAGGACTCAGGAGAGGAGATGGCAGAAAGAGGAAGGACACAGGAGAGGAGATGGCAGAAAAAGGAAGGACACAGGAGAGGAGATGGCAGAAAAAGGAAGGATGGCAGAAAAAGGAAGGACAGGAGAGGAGATGGCAGAAAAAGGAAGGACACAGGAGAGGAGATGGCAGAAAAAGGAAGGACACAGGAGAGGAGATGGCAGAAAAAGGAAGGACACAGGAGAGGAGAAGGCAGAAAAAGGAAGGACACAGGAGAGCAGAGGAGAAGGCAGAAAAAGGAAGGACACAGGAGAGGAGAAAGGAGAAAAAGGAAGGACTCAGGAGAGGAGAAAGGAGAAAAAGGAAGGACTCAGGAGAGGAGATGGGAGAAAAAGGAAGGACTCAGGAGAGGAGATGGCAGAAAAAGGAAGGACTCAGGAGAGGAGATGGGAGAAAAAGGAAGGACTCAGGAGAGGAGATGGGAGAAAAAGGAAGGACTCAGGAGAGGAGATGGGAGAAAAAGGAAGGACTCAGGAGAGGAGATGGGAGAAAAAGGAAGGACTCAGGAGAGGAGATGGGAGAAAAAGGAAGGACTCAGAAAAAGGAAGGACTCAGGAGAGGAGATGGGAGAAAAAGGAAGGACTCAGGAGAGGAGATGGGAGAAAAAGGAAGGACTCAGGAGAGGAGATGGGAGAAAAAGGAAGGACTCTGGAGAGGAGATGGGAGAAAAAGGAAGGACTCAGGAGAGGAGATGGGAGAAAAAGGAAGGACACAGGAGAGGAGATGGCAGAAAAAGGAAGGACACAGGAGAGGAGATGGCAGAAAAAGGAAGGACTCAGCAGAGCAGAGGAGAAGGCAGAAAAAGGAAGGACACAGGAGAGGAAAAAGGAGAAAAAGGAAGGACTCAGGAGAGGAGAAAGGAGAAAAAGAAAGGACTCAGGAGAGGAGATGGCAGAAAAAGGAAGGACACAGGAGAGCAGAGGAGAAGGCAGAAAAAGGAAGGACACAGGAGAGGAAAAAGGAGAAAAAGGAAGGACTCAGGAGAGGAGAAAGGAGAAAAAGGAAGGACTCAGGAGAGGAGATAGGAGAAAAAGGAAGGACTCAGGAGAGGAGATGGGAGAAAAAGGAAGGACTCAGGAGAGGAGATGGGAGAAAAAGGAAGGACTCAGGAGAGGAGATGGGAGAAAAAAGAAGGACTCAGGAGAGGAGATGGGAGAAAAAGGAAGGACTCAGCAGAGGAGAAGGCAGAAAAAGGAAGGACTCAGCAGAGCAGAGGAGAAGGCAGAAAAAGGAAGGACTCAGGAGAGCAGAGGAGAAAAAGGTAAGGAGAGCAGAGGAAAAAATAAATGGGGAAGGAGAGCAAAGGACTCAATAGTTTTAGCATTGTTGTGATTTGAAAATTGACAGGGTTATTCACTAAAGTGTGAATTGGGAATTTAAAGGGAAACTCTATACTACTACTTAACCCCTTAAAACCGGAGGACGTACAATTACGCCCTCTAATAGGCGGCTCTAAACGCCGCCGGGCGTAATTGTACGCCCTCCGGTTTTTGTTAACTTACCCGGTCGCCGGCGGTCCCACGCCGGCGATTGCGGTTGGGGGGACTCCCAGGGAGCCCCCCGCGGCACGTCCATCCTCGTCGAAGCTCCCCGGCCATGTGAGAGTGGGGTCCTAGCGAGGACCCCACAATCACATGGCCGGGGATAGCTGGCTTCTGTATTGCCGGCAGGGGGGCTGCCTGTAATGACAGGTGGTCCCCCTGCTGGCTGAAAATAAAATAAAAATAAGTTATGGTGTAAAAAAAAAATAATTATATATACTTAGATCATATATATATATTATATATATGATCTAAGTATATATATACACATATACGTACACCGTCTAGGTGTATTTTACTAATAATATATATATAATTATATATATTAATATCAAATTACACGTAGACTGATACTGATTAAATATATATATAATTATTGTTAAATATATATTTATATATAATATAAAAAAATAAAAATGTAAATGCGTTAAAAAATAAAATTAAAAAAATAATTAAAAATAAATAATTAAAAAATATATAGATGTGTGTTATTTCGTTCTAACTGTTTTGTGAAATTAACATATATATATATCAAAATACACGTAGAACGAAATAATATATATATCTATATACATAAATATATACGTATATATCACTATATATACACCTATAAATAAATTTAAAAAAAATTATATAGATATATACATATATATACACATACGTATATATATATACATATATTAATTCTACATATATATTTATGTAATATTTTTACATAATTAGGTATCTTAATTAATTACAATTAGCAGGACCTGCTGACAACCCATGCCGAAAGTAAAGGGAATTTAATTTGCTAGCACTATATTTAACCCTATAACTTTCCAAGACACCATAAAACCTGTACATGGGGGGTACTGTTCTACTCGGGAGACTTCGCTGAACACAAATATTAGTGTTTCAAAACAGTAAAATGTATTACGATGATATCGCCAGTAAAAGTGACGTTTTTTGCATTTTTCACGCACAAACAGCATTACACGGACAATATTATTGCTGTGATACTTTTTACTGTTTTGAAACACAAATATTTGTGTTCAGCGAAGTCTCCCGAGTACAACAGTACCCCTCATGTACAGGTTTTATGGTGTTTTCAAAAGTTACAGCGTCAAATATAAGGCTTGCATTTCAGTTTTTTCACATTAAAATTCGCCAGATTGGTTATGTTGCCTTCGAGACCCTATGGTAGCCCAAGAATGAAAATTACCCCTATGATGGCATACCATTTGCAATAGTAGACAACCCAAGGTATTGCAAACAGGGTATGTCCAGTCTTTTTTAGTAGCCACTTAGTCACAAACACTGGCCAAAATTGGCATTTTTGCATTTTTCACACAAACAGATACTAACGCTAACTTTGGCCAGTGTTTGTGACCAAATGGCTACTAAAAAAGACTGGACATACCCCATTTGCAATACCTTGGGTTGTCTACTATTGCAAATGGTATGCCATTATGGGTGTAAATTTCATTCCCGGGCTACTATACAGTCTCAAAGGCAACGTAACCAATCTGGCGAATTTCAATTTCAAATGTAACGTGCTATATTTGACCCTGTAACTTCCCAAAACGCCATAAAACCTGTACATAGGGGGTACTGTCTTACACGTGAGACTTTACTGAATACAAATATGTGTATTTTATTGCAGTAAAAGCAAACAGTATTATGACACTGACCGTTAAAATGTCATGTAGAACTAAAAAAATCCATATTTTCTCCCATTTTTTTCATATTAAATTATGTTTCATAGCTAAATATTTGATATTAAATGAAAGCCCTGTTTCCCCTGAATAAAATGATATATAATAAGGGTGGGTGCATTTACTATGAAAGAGGTGTATTACGGTTGGACAGACATGTAGCGCAAATGCCAGGTTTTGTTTACATTTTGTTTTGTTCACAATGTGTACATTTGGCTCCGTCCTTAAGGGGTTAATGCAGTGGTTCTTATTCAAAGAGACTGTGCCTGCAGTCTCAGCAATGTAAACACACTGCCTTTTCTGTTATAGGGCAAGTTTTTACATTGCTTTCTATGACCTCCTCTAGTGGCTGTCACACAGACAACCCTTTATTGTTCGGTCCTGCAATCTTTGCTTGAGCGACATTTGGCATCTTCACACTCTACATGAAGATGCCGTAGGTTTCTCATAAAGATGTATTGACCTAATGCATGAGGAGATGCTGATTGGTGCAGTGTGGCATTTGCTGCATATGCACACTAACCTTCCATCAATTTATCCCTTTGTGGAGATCATCATCATCATCGGAGAGTAAAACTTATATAATTATTGTTTTAGGTGGGTGCAAGTAAAACATTCGAACATTGGAAAATCTGTTACATTTTCAACTCAGTTAGTTTAACCTAAAAAAATTTAATTTACTTTGAATTCCCAACATTTTTTACTTTAGTGGTGTGATCCTTGTTTGCAGGTAGCACGGTCCTCTAGGGCAAAAACATGCACAGTCCTTGTAATTGCATATACTCAGGCACTTTATTTGCAAATCCACACAGGATACAGCAGTAAATTAAAACATAAATGTAACAAAACCCTATAAACAAAAACCTAGCTCGGTCTGAGCACTAACTAACTTTGAACGTCCCTCTCTATCAGGGTTAAACTAACAAAACATATGGCACCAACCTTATTAGTGGCACCAACCTGGCTAGCCTGTTGCGTTCCTTTCCTGCACTCCCAGTGCTCCAAGCCAGCCTTGCCCTGACTGCTTCCTTTCTGCACTCCCAGTGCTTAGTCTCCTTGACTCTATCTGGAAAGAACAGCCTCTCTCTCCTACCTGCTTCCTGGGAGGAAGCCAGCAATCCCTCTCCTTTACCTGCCTAGCAGGGAGGGGCTTATTACTGCAGCTGAGCAGTGGGTTGGAGACGGTCCAAAAAACCCTGGCCTGGATCTATGTCTCCCCAGAAAACCACTAAACTGTGGAGTGGAGCATTGGCCCACCCTTCTCTCCAAATGAGCCACCCCAGGGGCCCATAACTAAACAATGCTTTGTGTAACACAAACTACACATACTCCCCCTGGGGTTAAAAGGCCTATCTGCCTTCATTTTAGGTCGGCGGCTTCAGCAGTGTTCGCGCAAAACTGTGTCCCATTTTAGTTCCATGAAAATAGGGGCGAACACCGCTGTGCATTCGTATGTTTAAAATGGCCGCGACCTCATGTTCGGGATATGAATGGCGGCCACCCAGCATTCGTCAATTAAGCTGCGGTTAACCGCAGCTTCAGGGCGGTTAATTGCCGGCACACTCCAGCTCCCAGGTGGTCTATTCATTCGTGCGGTTGTTCGGTAGGTTGAATCTACCAAACAACCAGCAGAAAAGCACGAATACAGCTTTTCTGCAGGCGAAATAAAGTCTTTTAACAGGGGGCCATAGTCCAGAGGCAGCAGACGAGCAACCAGGCTTCTCCAATGCAATGTGGCGAGATTGGTCTCGTCACATCTCTCCCCTTTTCCAAACAGACTAACAGGGTATCTGACCTCCTGCCGGTCAGTGCCCTTGTTAGTCCAGCAGCCCACCCACAAAACACAATCAACAGCACAGCCCACCCACAATAAATGGTTACTGCACCTGGGTAGAGGAGAAGCTTGTCCATGTCCAGGTGCCTCACCACGGCTGTGCTGGGTACGGGTACGCTGACTTGGTGGGGTGCTGCGTGGGCAGAGACCAGCGGCACTCTTCCCTGTTGCCAGCGCTACTGGGAGGGTAGCCTGGTTGAAGCCTGGTTGTTGAAGGGGGAGACCGACTGTCTCCCCTTTAGATACACAGCCCTGCTGCTGGAGACCGACCGTCTCCCCTTTGGTTACACAGCTCTGCTGCTGGAGACCGACCGTCTCCCCTTTGGCTAAACAGCCCTGTCGCTGGGGGGCAGAACCGACCGTGCCTACCCCCTGTGCTGGACGTGCAGAGACCACGGTCCCATCTGCACCGTTGTGGGGCTTACTGTCTCCCCCTGGTACATTAAGCTGCCGCTGGGGAGAGGGGGTAACAAACTCCTCTCCCATCCATACTTCCAGCCGCGGGGGAGGGAGACCGACTGTCTCTGCTCCCAATACAAAGTCCTGCTGCTGGGGAAAGGAGACTGGGCTCTTTATTCCCGGTAGGATACTCTGCCGCTGGGGAATGGAGACAGGGCTCCCAATTCCCAATAATCTGTGCTGCCGCTGGGGAATGGAGACTGGGCTCCCAATTCCCAAAAAATCATACTGCCGCTGGGGAATGGAGACTGGGCTCCCAATTCCCAAAACATCATACTGCCGCTGGGGACCTGAGCCGACTGCCCAGCATCCCTGTAGCTCACCCTGCCACTGGGGAGGGAGGACGCTTCTCTCCTCTCCCTGCAAGGAACACTGCCGCTGGGGGACAGGACCACTTGTCTCTGCCCCCTGTAACTCAGCCTGCCGCTGGGGAATGGAGCTCAGGCTCCCAATTCCCTGCAATTCACTCTGTTGCTGGGGGACAGAAGCAACTATCTCTGTCTGCCTGCCGCTGGTGAATGGAGCTTGGGCTCCCGATTCCCTGCAATATCTCCCACTGGGGAATGGAGCTCGGGCTCCCAATTCCCTGCAATACCGGTGGAGCGACCTCGGTCCCATCTCCATCTGCCACCTGGGGTTCTTCCCAGTAATCCTCCACAATATCTACCCAGCTGAATGGGTCTGGATCTGGGTCTCCGCTTCCCTGCTGAGCCTTCTCACTGGAGTGGAACAAATCTTGGCAGCTCTGCTCCAGCTCCATCTCTCGGGTCACCAGGTGGACCAGGTCTTGCTCAATTTCTTGAGTGCCGTCCCAGTCATACCTGCTCTCCCTCCACTCCAAGAGATCACTGAACCGGGCTTGTGTAGGGCTCCCAAACTCAGGCTCTGCAAAAGACTCCCATAACAAGCCAGGACCATCAAACTCCTCTCCCTCTGGCTTATCATGCTCGGCTGTCCAGGGCTGGTACTGTGCCCCATACCACCAGAGCGCCTGGTAGGCATCTTCCAGCCAAATCTCCTGCCATACGCGGAGCTCCAATTCCTTCACCCATTCATCCAGGGGCTGCTCTCCCAGAAAGGGCATCCGCAGGGCTACTCGCTTCTGCAGTCGCTGGTCTTCCTTGGGGAGTCTCTCGCCCCGCTGGTACTCCACAATACCCAGTGCCTGGTACCAGATGCCTTTGCGCAGCGCATCTCGGTCATCCAGGGCACCCTCGTCATACTCCACTGGTGGTTCCATCTCGATGCTGTCAGGGTCGCTGTACTGGGACATGCGTTGCCCTCAAATTGTAAAAATCCACGGAATGGTGTCACCTGTAGCTGTCCTGTAGTCTGTGGGAACGATCCCGCCGCTTGCCAGCAATTGTAACGGACCATTTTGCACAAAAGGGGTAAAAACCGTTTAGGCGATCTTCCCCCTTTCCAGAGATGCAGGCACAGCTACTGCAGAACACCAAATACACGAACCGCCAATAAGTGAATGCTCCAAACACCCGAACTGCATATAAGGGAATGCTCCAAACACCCGAACTGCAATCAAGGGAATGCTCCAAACACCCGAACTGGAACCTCACGAATAGCTGCTAGCAGACGAACAGGAAAAGCACCCAAGCGGCTTACACTCCTGGCAGTCAGTCTCTATCAGCGTACAGGAAATCCCCCCCAAAGACGAGGCAGAGCTCCGTGTTGAGGGTCAAGCAGTGGTCTGTTTAATGAGGGCTACCTGCCCAGTATTTATGCAGGTCTCCCACCTGGTGGATACTCCCCTAGGGGACCAAATGGGAGACTGTGACAAGGGACAGACAAGCAGACAAATAGGACACACAGTCACAATATATTCCCACAATGCATCCTGGCTTCCTCCCCTCTGCCCTGGGAGATAATTGAGAAGTAATTCAATTATCTCCCAAGACAAAGGCAAATCTCCATTATACACATGGGGATACTAAAACAAGCATTACTGTTAAAATACACCAGGTAAAACACATTACATTAAAACTATACATTTAACATGTCCCCAGATAGCTCAGGTCTGAGCGCACATTATTGTGAATGGCGCTCAGACCACACGAATACAGTTTAATCGCCATGGAGCCAAAGTCTTTACAGTCAGTTTCATATGAATGGGCTCCATGGGATTCCTATCTGGGGTATAACACATCCAAACAAAACTACCGAACACCGGGCCGTTCGTACACTTCCACCGAACAAGAAGGGAGGTCGGCGGCTTCAGCGGTGTTCGCGCAAAACTGTGTCCGATTTTAGTTCCATGAAAATAGGGGCGAACACCGCTGTGCATTCGTATGTTTAAAATGGCCGAGACCTCGTGTTCGGGATATGAATGGCGGCCACCCAGCATTCGTCAATTAAGCTGCGGTTAACCGCAGCTTCAGGGCAATTAATTGCCGGCACACTCCAGCTCCCAGGTGGTCTATTCATTCGTGCGGTTGTTCGGTAGGTTGAATCTACCAAACAACCGTCAGAAAAGCACGAATACAGCTTTTCTGCAGGCGAAATAAAGTCTTTTAACAGGGGGCCATAGACCAGAGGCAGCAGGCGAGCAACCAGGCTTCTCCAATGCAATGTGGTGAGATTGGTCTCGTCACAACCATGATCTGATAGCAGCCTATGTGGTAGTTTGTGTGGTCAGGTCACATCTCTCAGGGAGGGAACACATTGTTGTAATTTGTGTTATTTCTATAGACAAATCTGGTGCTGAAACAACAATCAAAATCACTAAAATGTAGCAGTGTATGAAAACCCAGTGGAACCACATCTAGCCATAGGATTTTTCACTAATGTATTACTTGTCTATAATGCAAGGTAAATTTGAATTGAACTGTGAACTATAGGCCAATGCACTGAAACAGAAAGCTTGACTTCACCAGCACCCTCGTCTTAGTTACATGTCCCCCTTGTCATGCATTATATTCACCAGCACCACTATCTTATTTGCCAGTCTGTCTCATTCACTAATCATCCACTAAACATCAATTCATCAGCACCTTCATGTTATTCACCAGTCAACCTTTATCCCCATCTCATTCCCTGTACACCATCTTATTCAACAGTCTACCATGTTATCCACAAGTCCCCACCTTATCAAATCACAGTCTTATTTCTTTCACCAGTCATCCTTAAATAGCTTATCGGCCCCATAATTGCATACCAGTCATCCTTGTGAAGCGCACATAGCTTATCAGTCCCCACATTAGGGATCCTACCATTCTTATTAAGGCTGGCTCAGGAAGTTTTAGAGTTCAAGAGAAGGAAGGGAGGTAATGTTCCCCTGACCTCTCTACTCTTTCCCTATTTGCATTAATCTTGACAGCAAGGAAACATGGTGCATGCTGGTTAACCACATGCTTTGTCATATTTATATTTTTATATTTTATCCTGTATTAAGCTCAATGATATTATAATCTATTAAAAGAGTTATTGTGTGTGCAACACCTTATATTTATTGCCACTCCTCTTTTTTATAGAGGAAAAAATTATAAATTTTGTGATCACATTTTAGCTATTCTGGAATTCTTTTGGCATCACAAAATTTATAATTTTTTCCTCTATAAAAAAGAGGAGTGGCAATAAATATAAGGTGTTGCACACACAATAACTCTTTTAATACATTGAAAATGTATTACTGGTATTTATAACACGCCAATGGATTCCACAGTGCTGTACAATTAGTGGAGAACGTACAATATACACAGACAACTACAAGAGGTAGAGAGAGCCCTGCCCGTAAGCTGATATCTAGCCATTGGAGGTTTTTTTTTTGTTTTGTTTTTTACAAAGTGCTTAGCTAGATGTCTTACAATCTAAAGGATACCGTGGGGATCTGAGACAAGAGGTAGAAGGGGAAATTTGGAGGTGATGTCTAAAAGTTAACAGAGAAGCACCTATTGGTAAACTACAAAGGGAATGAAGAGGTAATTGAGTGAGAAAATCAAACAGCTGGTGGAACATGCTATATATTTAGGGGGAACCTGGGTTGGCGGGCAGTGGTGAGGAAAAAATAGAGAGCTTCACTGAGTTTCAGTGTGACATACTAATGTGTACACATGAATGAATTAAAGACTTTTTGCATGTGACAAGTGTTTTCAGCTGTTTTTTCATTAACTCATCCATGTACTACTAAAATTATTCACTTTCATCCTTTAATACATACTAATAAAAATATGAACATGAATAACCATACTAGTACAGTCTTTTAATGTACAAAATGAATGTTAAAATTGCTTGTACATCAATCAGCAGCAATATTCATACCACCTGCATGATGTAGGTCCCCCTCGTACTACCATAACAGCTCTGATGCATTGAAGCATGGATTCCACAAGACCTCTGAACATATTCTGTGGAATCTGACACCAAGACATTAGCAGCAGATCCTTTAATTCTTGCAAGTTGAGAGGTGTGGCCTCTTTGGATAGGATTTGTCATCCAGCACATTCCACAGCTGTTCAAAAGGAAATTTGAACACCAAGGCAACACATGGAACTTTGTTATGTTCCTAAAACCATTCCTGAACATTTTTTGCAGTGTACATTATCCTCCTGAAAGAGGCCACTGCCACCGAGAAACGCCATTGCCAT